CAAGAAGTTGAGGAGGAGATCGGTCGGCTGAAGAACAACAAAGCAACTGGTGTAGATCAACTACCAAGTGAGTTATTAAAATACGGTGAAGCACTGGCTAGAGTGCTGCACTGGGTAATTGCCACGATTTGGGAGGAGGAGATATTACCGGAGAAGTGGATGGAAGGTGTCGTATGCCCAATCTACAAAAAGGGCGACAAGTTGGATTGCTGCAACTACCGCGCGATCACACTGCTGAGCGCCGCCTACAAGGTACTCTCCCAAATTCTATGCCGCCGCCTGTCACCATTTGAAAGAGAGTTCATGGGGCAATAACAGGCGGGATTCATGGGTGCCCGCGCTACCACGGACCAAATTTTCACGATTCGGCAGATTCTGCAGAAATGCCGCGAATACAACGTGCCCACACATCATTTGTTCATCGATTTCAAATCCGCATACGACACAATCGATCGAGATCAGCTATGGCAGATTATGCACGAGTACGGATTTCCGGATAAACTGACGCGATTGGTCAAGGCGACGATGGATCGAGTGATGTGCGTTGTTCGAGTATCGGGGACACTCTCGAGTCCCTTTGAATCTCGAAGGGGGTTACGGCAAGGTTATGGACTTTCGTGTCTGCTGTTCAACATCGCCTTAGAAGGTGTGATCAGAAGAGCTGGGAAAGACACGATTGGCACGATCTTCAGGAAGTCCATCCAGCTTCTTGGCTACGCCGATGACATTGACATCGTGGCACGAAACTTTGAGACGATGGCGGAAACGTACATCAGACTGAAGGCTGAAGCTAGGCGGATTGGACTTACATGAGAGGAGGAGGTTCTAGGGACGATAATGTTAGCCTTCCACCCCGAGTTCAGATTGACGATAGACCTGGTCAATCGAGGTGGTGTAGTGTATGTTGGCGCACTGGATACCGCCAAAAATTATACCAGCAGAGAAATTCAAAGACGCATTGTGGAATCGTGCTTACTTTGGACTGCGGAAGACACTCCAGTCGAATAAAATTCGCCGCCGCACGAAGCTGACTATTTACAAGACGCTGACTAGACCGGTGGTTCTCTACGGACACGAGACCTGGACTATGTTCGTGGAGGACGAACACGCCCCTTGGTGTTTTCGAACGGAAGGTGATGACGAATTGCACCAGCTGCTGGGAGAACCATCCATCGTCCACATTGCAAAAATTGGGCGACTACGGTGGGCTGGGCACGTCGTAAGAATGCCGCACGACGACCCAGTGAAAATGGTTCTAGAAAGCGACCCAACAGGAACAAGAAAAGAGGCGCGCCGCGAGCTAGATGGATCGACCAAGTAGAAGGTGACCTGTGGACCCTTCGCAGACTACGAGGCTGGCGAACTGGGGCCATGGATCGAGTAGAGTGGAGACGACTTCTTCGGACAGCAGAGGACAACAAGGCCTTAGCCTGATTGGTAAGGTAAGTATGGAATTTTACTCAAAGACTCTCTTTGACACGCAGTCGAAAATAATAAATTCTAGTTTAGATACCTTTGGAACCAAATCAACTTCATATACCGATTATTATTTTTTTTTTAAATTCCTGCTAGAATTGCTAAAAAGTTCTTGGCAGCATTACTTTGGAATTCTTGTAACAATTTATTTTAAGTTGTGGATCTTTGGATATTTTTTGGGAATATCCTTTGAATTCTCCTTGAGTTCTTCTCCGAGATTCTTTGACAATCTTCTAGAGATTTCCTTCAGAATTGGCATGTCTATTTATAACAACCTTCAAATTTCCAGAGTATTTTCCTGAAGTTTTTCTCACAAAGCCATTGAATTTCTTTTCAGAATTACTGTCTAGTCTCCTCGGAATTCCTTAAGAAATCTATCCATAACTCCCTCTTCGGAATGACTTTTGGATTATGCCAATGCACATCGAAGTTCCTTTAATCTTTTCCTGTAAAAAACAATTTGTTATTGATGCAATGAGTTATGAGGAAAATCGCTGAATAAAAAAGTTTTTGAATTGCTTTAGCTTTTCTCCCTTAGCTGTTTTCGCCATCCCTTACTACGATGCTGAGTGTGGAAAGCACTTTACGTAGAAATGCCATATGCCTTCAGCTGAGCACCACTGGCCTACAATGCACTTGATTTTATTTTTTTAATTAAAGCTTGGGTAAAGTTGTGAATTTCATAATATTGATAAATGCTGCTCAAGACGTATGATTTACAAAGTCGTATTAAAGTCGTGTTCACAATTGTTACGTGGTGAGAGTCTAGAATTGCGATTCTTTGGGGTATAGGGTTAGAATGACTGCAACAGACTACTCTTTTTTAGCATTCAGCACTGCGATGCAAGTGTGAAAGAGTAAAAAGTTTTGTTTTGTCATAACTCCGTCAGTTTTACCGCTGTCAATTTTCCCAATAGGGTTAACATTATGGTGTGTGGTGTATTTATATGTGGTTGACTGCGATAGAGTCCTCATGATTTAGATGTTTTACCTAAAATACAAAGGAACACTGTAAACAATACTGGTACCATGCTGAAAAAAGTAGCACGATTGCTTTCAGCACACTCCTCGTTACTACGGAGATTAAACAAATCCCACGGGAAAACAATTTCCCAACAACGAACACGATAAAGCAGCTTTAAAACTCATTATAAACGATAAGGTAACCGCACATTCATCCTGTGCGCAGCAAAATCCCTGACATTTCCATACTTCGCAATAATTCCACCTTAATTATCAACAAGTCAGCCTGGAGGAAAACCGCAAGCCCCAGCACAGGGAGGCAGCTTAAATTTTGCTCATCATTACCCCTGCCTGTATCAGAAGAGCAGTGCCAGTTCAGAGCTGGAGTTGTGAGTCTGGAGCCAAAAATATGTCCCTCTGTGCCCGGAACCTATACACGATCGCCACACATTGCAACTCAGTCATCTGCATAATTCGTTCAAATTCATTTCATAATTTGCTCCACCTACCTTCAGTGCCATTCAGGGACGAGTCAAGCCTGGAAAAAAAAATACATCTCTGCCTGATGCTCTCTGGCCGACATGGCAGAAAGCGAACGTTCTCTGCCACTTTTCTGCTGTTCGTAACCACAAATCCTTGCTCCTTGCTGTCTCCTCTTGTGCACTGGGAACCGTTTTCCAATTTTGTGGTTTTTCCGAGCGAAGAAATTTCATGTGCGAGCAGAATAAAAGTGAGCACGGTTTCTATTTTTTCCCGATTGAGGAAAAAAGGAGCCTGTCCGGGATACCTACACATCGAAAGTTGGTGTTCACATCGGATGGCCTGAATAGGGCCTGTTTCCCAGAGTGCCGGAGAGCAGGCAGAACTGGTTCAGTTCACTGGACACCAAGAAAGGGGACCAACTTCAGGTTCGTTTCCCGTGTATCTCGATATGTGTGAAGTGAACGCTTGTACGTAGGTTGCTCCCAGCTCGGTGTCTTGTTATGGGTGACTGTGGTGGTGCATGTGCATGTGCAGAGTGTGTTGACATCCGGATTCTGTCTCTTATTGAATGCAGCTGCCGTTGTCGTCGTCGTTGGTTTCCGCCTTAGGATGGTTTCATCGCTGCTCCTATGGCTGCACTACATCCCTTATCGAACCGCTTGCCCTGTTTGACATTACGGTGAGTTTTTCCTTTTTCCACATGGATTGCGACGGTGCTGGTGGAATCAGTAGGAATAACAAGAGCTGTTGAATGTGTCGACTGCAGATGGAACGGACACTGCTGGAGATTAGCATTTCAAGAGAATATTTTAGAATGGGGAATGAGTGATACGTGATTATTATGGGTACGGCAGAAAAGCACTACATCAATTGCTAAGTAGTCCAACTGCGGAAAGCTTTTAAACAGAGCATGAAGCTCATAATTAATCAGTCAATTCAAACTTCATCATCAACTTCTTATCCTAACAATGAAAAATCTACAGAGGGCACTGTGAAGCAAAACTTATTTCTTATACGTAGCGCACTGGCTAGTCCCCGCTGATGCAAGCCAACCATGGCCGGTAATGTTCTTTAATTCTGAAGGAAACGCTTCTTTTAAGGCTACCTTCGCATATTACCCGTGAGGCAGGTCGGAGGCATAAGGAATATATTTATTTACCTATGCACATGCTACCGCGTTACACAGGAAGGTAGCAAGTAAGTAAGTGGTAAGAATACCGCATAAATATATTTTTTTTAATTATTAGATAGATTTGAAACCGGTGCGTTCATTCACCTCTTCCGAAAAATAAAATATTATAACCTATGGTATAGTTTACATTTCAAAACTTTGGGTTCTTCGCATTTGTTGTTTACTAAGGTTATATGAAGCTCATTATTGATCCCTATTTCTTCCCTAAAATTATCACATTAAATACAATTCAATAAAATGTGTTTTACAGATAGTTCGGCGTTACAATTGTCACAATTTTTGGAGATATTTTTGTAAAACAAGTGTTCTTTTGTTAACTTTCCTACAAAACGATCATCACTATCAATCCACTTTTCACAGACGGTTTACATCGTTGAAGAAAAGTTGGATGGACGATGAGATTCCCAGAGAGTTTGGAATTTTTGCAGGAAAAGCATTTTTATCCAATTAATAATGTCATTTGCAGAGATAGCAATTTGTATTTGGGTGGCTGTTCTTCCACGGTCAGCAGCTTAGTCAGCATCTACGTTTCCAGGAATTCCGGAATGTCCGGGACCCAGCAATTCTTTTTAAATGCTCTTACATCATAAGGGTTAGGCAAAAGATGTGCGTCTAACTTTAAAAACTGTCGCATTAATGGCCCTTCGCTCATTTTCAACTTCTATTCAATTTGCATACTGCCGTACACTAACGGAACTATCCACCTACTCTCTTCTAAAGATCATTCTCTAGCTAATAAATTATCACACTAAAGCTTCATGTTAGCATTTCCAACCAACTCTGAAAATCACTAACTTCGCGTATGAAGTAACATAAAAACACTTTGAAAATTGGACTTGTTTGGATAGTTCTATAGTTCTAGAACGGATTAATTTTATTCATAAAGACCTGGCCTTCCTCGACGATGACGCGATTGAAGGTATACAAAGAGATGTCCAGCTGTTCCCAACAACGACAGGCCAGAACGAAGTTGAGTGGAAAAAGATTTTGAATTATTACGGTGATCTTAGCGAATTCAGGTTCACTACGGGGGAGCGCAGTTCACTAAAGATGATTGCTGCAACCATAAGAAGAAATGGGATAACCAAGTTCAGTAGAAGTATGCTACGAAGTATACCTGAACAACAGCAGCAAGCATCAACGTTGGCATTAATAGAATCCGTAAAAACCAAAATTATGGATTTTTTTGAAAAAAAAAGTATTATTAGTAATATTTAGCTTAGGAAGCTTCAAACTAGATGCAATTTATTTACAGATACGGCACTCCAGATAATGAAAATTGGCTTGCGGAAATACACGGTGCCAATATAACCATCTCTAACGATGATAGTGGTAGGAAAGTACTGGTGTCTTGCCCATTTTGCGGTACCATTGTTATGATTCGTCCAGAACCGACGGGAACATGGAAAGTGTCAAATTTTTCTGCTCACATCCGTTCAAAGCACTTGTCTGAACCGAACTCCAAACAACCCCAAAACCGTGGAACAAAGCGGCCGTATTCCGAATATGATGAGCAAAATGCACAAAGTGTTCTCAACGAAGATTGTAGCATTGCAGAGGTACTTGTGGAAGAATAGATAGAGCCCGAAACATCAACTATGACCGATTCCAATAAAGAGGATGCATACAGCAAATACATTGAAGGCGGAAGTGGAATAGAGCATTACAGAGAAAATGCTTTCAACAGTAGAAAAGAAGATGAATGCAGTGAACAAGAAGAAGATAAGGAAAAACAGAACAGTGAGTATCAGGAAGTAGCACTCGAAACTGTACATTCGATTTCAGCAAACTGGGAAAACGATGAGGACAGCAGAAAAGAAGAGGCGAATGATGAAATTGATGTGAGAAACGTGAACGTGGAGTATCGGAAATTAGACCAGATTACTGGGCCTCAGAACGCAGCACTCGAGCCAATATCTTCGGTTGCATCATGCTTGCTCCTCAAAGCCAAACAGCAAAATCAGAATGTACCAAGGAGTACTCAATCAAGTGATTTAAACTAGCTGAGCACTGCGACGAGGCTGACCGTAGTGTTGCTAGTGAAAAGGCCAATACTTCCAGACCTATAGTCTCTCTTTTATCCAGGTGCGAGAATCGTGTGGGACCTCAACCACCCAAAGCAAGACGATACACATCCAAGGAATTAGACTATTTTACTTTCAAGTACATACAAGGAGGTAGATCAGCATATGAGTTTCAGCATGCGAATTCTACATCACCTACCGTTAGAACGTGCCAACGGCATTTTCGTAAAATGACCTCTGGAATTGAACCAGATTGTTTAAGGATTTCCGAGTTTGAGAAATTTTTGAAGTTCAATTATCTTCCTGAAGCATTTGTCCTCAGTGAAGATGCGACCAGAATAGCTCGTGGAGTTGGCTACAACATCACCCGTGATACGGTTTATGGCTTGGTTCCACCAATGGACTAGAATGGTATGCCAATTCAGCATTTTTTTGTAGCAACATCTCCGAAGAAGGTTATTGAGTACTTAAGGCAGTACAGCATTGGTCGTAATTTGTATGTAGTAATGGCCCAACCCCTTAAATCTGGTTCGAGAGTGTTTTGCCTGATGTTTAGCGTCCGATGGAGACGCACGGTTAGTTCAATCTATGTTGCGAAAGACGGATATAACTTCCATGAACCCAAACCCATTTGGCACGTAGTAGGGTAAGAACTACTTCGGCCTAATCACCCATTTTGGGCCTATCGTGCAGAAAACTTCCAATAAATCCATGATTTCATAGTTAACACGTCAATTATGCATTTGGTACGATACTTCAGTTAATAAGCTACCGAACGAAGTCAATGAGAACACGTGATATGAAGGTTTGCACCCATTATTCCCAAAAACAAAAGAAGCGCTCCGACCGAATCAATTTTTATCTTCATCCGATAGGCCGAAGTGAATTCACTGGTGTTACAATTGCGTTTCAATACGTTAGGCCGAGTTTAGAATCAGTAGGCTGAGTTTGGCGTCAAGAAGCAGTGTTAGACTTTTGACTATATCTCAACGGAAAGGTAAATAAATTTGAAAGCCATCAGTAATAATAAAATTGCGTTTGGTGTTAAACTGCGCTAGATTAAGAAAGACTAAGTGTGGGTTGTGCTTAATAGGCCGGAAATGGGGTAGTTAACCCTATGCATGCAAATACTCGACAAAAAGTATCTGCATTCAGGATCCTACTCATCTTATAAATAAGATGAGGATACGTTTAATGAAAGTCGAGAAGCTGCTTTTTATTGGTAACTATAATCAATAACAATAGTTTGGTTTGATGGTATAACACAGTTTCTTATTCTTTTTTATTTAGGTAGGGGAATTTACGTATTCTCGGCAACCTAAGCAGCGACCTTCTTTCTATAGCCTTTTTCTCTAAGGAACGCACACATATGCAGTATTGGTTTGTTTACAATCTATTGCTGCCAGCTGCTCTAACAATTTCAGTCGAAAGAATTGTCAAAAACTGTTTTGAAACGCTTTTACAAAGCTCCAATCTTCTCTAGTGAGAGTGAGTATTGTCGGCAACCAGTTTTTCTTCGGCAACCGTTCCATTTGAACTGCATGTAAATCTGCTGTTCTATTATCGGCAACTCGAAATCAGCTACAATTTGTGCGTGTGTTTCATTTCAAGAAAACCTTGCTAGATTGCTTTTTCTCAGTGGTAAAAATATAGTCAAATTGAAGCTGAAAGCATAAAGAATCGTTTGCATGCATTCAGCGAAGTGTTTTCTTAAGAAAATCCAGTGAAAATACTGTTTCAATTTGGGTTGCCGAAAATAGTCTGGCATGCCGAAGCCGGCATTTCCCCTATATATATACGATTTCACGAGCACATTTACTTGAGCTGCTAGCATTGCCTAGAGACCAACATGGGTTGTTTCCTTCTGATCTAACTTCAACAGACAAAATGAAATTCAAACCTGTTGAAAAGATAACGCAGCCCAGGGTCATAAGATTGTTACGTGACAGTTTTCCCGAAGCAAAAGGCACGGCAACGTACTTGGAATTGATGATGAACATCATGCGATCTTTCATGAACATCGACATGACACCCGAAGATAGATTGTTTATCGTGTGGTAAGGACAAAAACTTAATATTTCTATAAATAACACAAATGGTTAAGTATTGTAAAAACGAAAAATAAAGAGTTAAACTAATTTAATTTCAGGTGTGGACTTTTCTTTATGAGAGCTTGGTGAAAATGGTGTGTTTCGAAGTACAAGAATATACAACATTGTATTACCACGAACTGCTATTGGAGCATGGAAATCAACGCTCATGCATTGCTTAGTTTCACATTTCTTTGTCTTGAGAAAGGCTATGATTTTGATTTTCGTTCTGCTCGATCTTTTACGTCTACTGTGTCTACGGTGGTTAATTTCAATATGCAGACGTTCGAGTCAAGGCTTAACAGGATAGAAGCAAAAATTGATATAATGTACAAACAAAAAGATAACTTCACTTTTCCGAGGTTGAAGAACATTGAAACAAACAGCAAGGAGTTACAGTAACCTACAAACTCACAAATAACTTATATTGTTCAGAAGGCTAAGATCGAAGCACAGAACTTGTTGAAATCCTTAGGGATAACACTATCCGTTGATTCATTTGAAGAGTGCATATACATACGAAATCCTAAAAACAAGTGCGAAGATCAAACCGGAAATTTTGAATTCGTTCCAGTCTCGATGGAGTTAAACGAAGATCCCGTTGATACCTTCCTATTATATGATTGTAAAGATTTGTTCTCAGACACAGGCCTACGATTACAAGTCAAAACCAGTTTTGGATTCAGTCAACGGAATACTTTTAAACTCCGCAATAAAAATGGTAATGTCGTACACGTAAAAAAACCTACTCTTATATGGATGCTGCACTCTGAAACTGAAAAAGTTTCACCGGATAGGTTACACAGATTTCATGATTCAACCACAAGTGATTCCTTTCAGCTAACGTTCGAAAACACAATCTTAAGCGAAATTACAATCGGCGAGTGGATTCTAATTGCAACTACCAGTGGATTTCTGGTGTGCAAAGTTTATAATTTCACGTATTTGAGCGGAAAAAGAACATCTTATTCCCGAAACACTGCTCCCGTTCATGTACCAGATGGAGTTGAAGCAAGAGGAATTGGCGTTAAAGGAACATTAACATTATTCCTTTCGATGAAGACTACATCGTTGATTTTTTGGGAGATAGTGATACTATCTGTATAGCCATCGAAAATTACAAAACGCATCTTAAAAAACCTTCGCTAAATGCAGGTTTGATGCTGTTCGACGAGGAATCGGTAGAGTACATAAAATCATACGTTAACTAATCTGTTGTGAACTCTGTGATAAATAAAGAAAAAGATAGGGAGGGAGAGAGAGAACAAAACTCCTATGTAGTTTCATTGTCATGACCAATTATTATTCATTTTTATATGATGACGTGGTGCAGCGAATGTTGGGGTAAAATAGGACAGCATCCCTGCGCAGAGACTCTCAAAGGTAGCCCCTAACCAAAACGAATCACTTATGGTATGTAGGGTTTCACGTGTCAAGCCGGATGAATCTGGGAAATGATAAAAGCAACATTGAAAAACTTTACGATCTCCAACCAAGCCCAGCCCACGTACTTACCTAATAACTGGCGATGATCCGCTGTATCAATTTAAAATCCCGCTGCAGCGGGTGATGTGATTTAATTTTTATCTTTTTACCTCTATTCATATCCAATTATCCAGACAAACGTCACAGTCTGACTGCTTTGTCTGGCTCTATATATCCGGCTTGGCTTAAAAATCCTTCCATCGTAGGTGCCCTGGTACTTTCCTAAACGAAAAGAGAAGTCTGTGCCTCTAGTTGTCCAATTCCGCTGAATCCAGCCGGTTTCACCACTTTAAAAGCTAAATAATACTTTGCTGCCAAACGGCTGTTGTTTTGCTTTCCGAAAACTCCTGAATCAGTCGTCAAAAAATCTAACAAATCTGACACTTAAGTTTTTAGAGATGTAAACCGATATTATTCGATATCAAGGAGATGTCAACGTAAAACAGATTTTATCGATATTATCGGATATTTTAGATTTCATTCAGTTCTTCTAATTGAAAGAGATAATTCTCAATAAAGTTTTAGGATGTGAATGCTATTTATTAAGGTTCAAATTTGAGATATCTTTAGATTATCTCGAAGAGTCGTTCCCCTCGCTGCTTCCCCAACACAGTTATCAGAGAATCGTTTCTAGACGAAACATGTCGATGTAGCATTGCTGCTTCCCCAACACTGTCGTCAGAGAGTCGTTAGTAGACGAAACATGTCGATGTAGCGCCTTCGATCTTCGGGCGTGTGCGAATAGGGAGGATACAATTGCGTAACATTTTGCCCACTCATCGCCATATTAAGAACCACACGCCCCCAACGACCACACAAAATACTCTTCAGAGTTGTAATCTTGTAACCAAACTTAGAAGCAGAGGTGCAAGTGATTTTGATCGATTCTCTCCATCGAGTTTCTGTTTCGTTAATAACTCGACGGCAAACACATTCATTGATACGTTTGCTGTTCTGGTTGCTAGAAGAGCATAACAGAAATAGTGCAAAATAGGTTAGTGAAGA